CAGATCATAAGTTACATGAGTTAAGTAAGGATTTCTAGACAGGTGAATGTAATGACGGGGATTTGGTGTTCCATCATCAGCTGTCAAGGTGCTAGATTGGTCTCAGGACTTGAGATAAAGCTTACGTGTGTGTGCGCACGCGCGTGTGTGTGCGTGTGTGAGTGTGTGTAGCCTGCAGTCACGTTTGGACAAGAGGCAGGCATGTTATTACACAAAAGGTGGAGAGTGGAGTGCAGTCCCAGGTCCTGCTGACCTGAACCAGCCAGACTCAATGCAGTTTCCAATCAATGGGTATTTGTTATGTGTGTGTGATGTCTTTGGGCTAGCTGATAACTCCAGCCCATGGTAATCTGTCTTTCCTGACTGTTGATATCTCTGCTGGATAGGTTGGCAGTATATTCTCTGCTATAAAAGGCGGCCAGGTGTGGTGAACTGAGGGACAGAGAGCAGTCAGTCTGGGCCATAATATGCGATGTAGTAGAATGATAATGTGGATTAGGTCAAAGTTGAGCTGAGCCTCAGAAAGGCAGGAGAGACATGGGAGAGGAGTGGCATTCTCGGCTCTAGGAATAGCAGGAGGAGGGAGGACCACAGAATGCTTCAGCTGACATTGAGCAGGAAACCAACCTACCTAACTGGAATAAAAGGTCAAGGTTTTCCTGCAAGATAAGAATGGATAGGTAAAGGTGAGAGGAAGGGTTGACTGAGACCCAGAAAAATCAGGGCTAGGGACAAGAAAACATCCACGGAATTTGAGGTTTCTGGGTAATGATAACATGGGCATGGCAGGTTTATAGAAGTAATTAATAATAATAACAGCAACAATAATAACTAGCCTTTACATAGCGCTTTAAGGTTTTCAAAGGGCTTAACGTATGTTAACTCATTTGATCCTTGCAGTAGTCCTGGGCGGTAGGTGCTATTATTATCCCCATTTTATACATGAGGAAACTGAGGTTGAGGCATGTTAAGTGACTTGCCACAGCTAGTAAGAGCCTGAGTCTGGATTTGAATCGGGGTCTTCTGAACCCTATCCACTCTTTCCACAACCAGAGGAGGAAGTGGAACAGAAGCTCCTTGAGGGCAGGGCACTGTTCCATGGCAGTCTTGGGATCCCAACACCTCCAACCTAGGAGGACATGAATGCATGGCTGTGGAATTGAATTGAATTGAATTGATCTGGCCAGCTTGGTTTAGGCCAGCGGCATGGACCCGAGCTTCAGGATGCTCTGAGTTCCGAGGACTCCCACTAGGACATAAGCAACAAGTGGTCGCGCAGCCTGTTCTCATCCTCAGCAGGTCTGTCTGGCCTCTGCACCTAAGTCTGCCTCTGTCACCTCCACCCATCGTTCCTGGTCCCTCCCTCTGGGCTTGGATTCAATGGGCTTCTTGTATTTGACCGAGGTTCAAATCCCAGCTCTAGGGTCCTTGGGCCTCGGTTTCCTCATCTGTAAAAAGTGGGGGTTGGTCTAAAAGACCCGTGATGTCCCTTCAACCCCACACCTACAATCCTCTGACCGTGGCAGAGGGCCTTCCCTTCCCCAACCCCTGCAGAACCCATCAGCTTCCCCGTTTCTGGTCCTCCAGGTGCTGTGCCAGTCCTTCCTTCCCCTCCCTGCTGCCATCAGGGGCTTGGCCCTGAAGGAATTCAGTCGGTAAACTCGGACAGATGCGGTTTAGCTTCCTCCTGGCCCTCCTGGCCCACGTCACAGGTCAGGGCATCAGGATAGAACAAGGCTAGCTGGGGGCTGAGAAGAAATGACACCTCTGGTCAAAGCTTCCCTCCCTCTTGTTCCCTTGGGGCGGGGGGATGACCCCCATCTAGACTAGCACCAACCACAATGGGTCACATCGGCAAAGTCACTTTTTGTTCCTGCCTTGAGAAATTGGAAAGGAAAGGAGAAAAAGTCATGAAAGGAGAGATAAAAGGATGAATGAGACTGGCTGGCACTTTGTTTGATAATGGGAATGTTTGCCAGGGTTGGGCCTGCTCTGGCCTTCTTAGAACACTGGCTTTTGAAGGGCTGCATTAGCTATTTAGAGTGGCAAGGTGTGCTTCAGAGACCTATGATTTATCAGCCTGGGTACTCCGGGGAGTAGAGAGGAGCAGTACCTCGACTCCCCACCCCCAAAGCAGAGCACTGGTCCCCAGCGTGGTACCTTTGGCCCAGACCCAGGTGTTCCATCCACATAAGAAACTCCCATTGTCCCAATGCATGGTACAGTGCAAAAGGCATGGAGTTTGGAGTCCGAGGGCCTGGGTTTGAATCTCTGTTTGCTCTCTTTGCAAGTCATAAAATCACTTAACTTTTCTGGGCCTCAGTTTCCTCATCTGTAAAATGGAGACATTGGACCAGATGGCCTAGAGAACCTAGGTCCTTGGGTGTGGCCTTTTGACTGAGTCCAAGTTTTACAGAACAAATCCTTTTATTAAGGGCATTTGTTCTATGAAGCTTGGATTCAGTCAAAGGGCCGCACTTGAGGACCTAGAGGGCCACGTGTGGCCTCGAGGCTGCAGGTTCCCCACCTCTGGTAGAGATTCCCTCTAGCTCTAAATCTGTGATTCTATTAAGATTGTGAGTGGTCCAAAACTAACTTAGACTAAGTTAGCCAGAATAACTGGCCTAAGACTCACTTAGAGTTTTCCAGGACTCTGAGAGTTTAAGCCATATGTATAGGCCTACACAGCCAGTAGTGACAGAGACAAGATCTGGACCCAGACCATTGTGACCCTGAGGCTTTCTCTCTATCTGTTAATCCACACTGTCTCCTTGTCATATGTCCATGACACATAAACACTGCCCTCATCCCCCCCCCAAAATAAAACCCACATAAGGCTGATATTTACCAGCCATGTGATCTTGCATATAAATTGAGGGGTTGTACCCAAAGGGATCTTAGAAACCATAGAGTCCAATATCTGCATTTTACAGATGAGGAAACTGAGGCCCAGGGAGGTAATAGGATTCAGTTTCATAGGATTATAGAGCTCTAACTAGACCTCAGAGCCCATCTTGTCTGACACCTCCATTTTATGGGGGTTACCTGACCCAACCAAGGTCACACAGGGAGTATATGGCAGTGTTGGGATTTGAACCCAGGTCTTCCCATTTTAAATCCAGAGCGCTCTCCATGGTACCGATAGAGAGACAGACAGACAGATAGACATATGGTTAGATAGATAGATAGAGAGAGAGAGAGAGAGAGAGAGAGAAAGAGATGGATAGATGGACGGACAGATGGACAGACGGATGAGATAGATAGATGGATAGATGGATAGAGATGGATAGATGGATAGACAGACAGATGGATAGATACATACATACATGTATATGAATTGTGTGTGTGTATATATGTCATAGAAATGATGTTAAATGCTTTTTCGCCCACAAATTATGCCAACAAGCTGGTGGATCTGAGCTCAGAGAGCTCATGCAAGTAGGAGAAAGCAGAGAGATGGGCCCTGGGAAGGAATCAGAGCAAGGTGAAGAGAAGCTGATGGGAATCAGTAGAGAGAGAAAGAGGAAACCTATTTGGCAGGGAGGGAGGGAGCCCCAAGGCCAGAGGCAAGCTGCCTGTGTTTCCAGGGAAAGGTATAAGGGCTGAGAAAGCAGCTGGGAAGCCAGTGAAGAGGCAGGAGGAGGGAGGGGAAGGAGTGGGCTCTGTCGGAGCCACACAAGGAAAAAGCTCTTTTCAGAATCAACATCCTTCCCGATAGCCAGCATCTGTATTCTGCTCCCGTACCCGAGGCCCACAGGGACCCCAGGAAATGAAGCTTCAGACCCTGGGGGAGCTGGGGGCTGAGAAGTGAGCCAGCCCTCTGGCCCCTCAGCCGGCGCTGCCCATCAGGGTACCTAGGGGACAGGTGCTGCTGCTGCAGGGCCTCAGGGCCCGACTTAGAAACGCCGCATCTAATGGCCCATCTCCACCTCCTGTCCCTTGCAGGCCCTTCCTCGTGCTGCCGCCTCTGATGGAATGGATCCGAGTAGCTGTGGCTCACGCTAGTCACCGACGCAGCTTCTCCATGGACAGCGACGACGTCCGCCAGGCCGCCAGGCTCCTGCTGCCAGGCGTGGACTGTGAACCCCGACAGCTCAAGTAAGTCCTTTGACCTCTGAGGGCATGAGGAGGAAGGCAAGGGATGGGGTAAGGAGGAGAGAGAGACTAGCGATGGCAGCCTCTGTCTGTTGCCTTCCTCGGCAAAAGCCTGGCACCGAAGAGGACAAGCCCACTCAGCCACGGCTCGTCGCTGGTTCCTCGGCTCCCTGACTGAGCTTGAGCCCGGCTCCCCCATTATCTAGCTGCGTAAACGGTGTGTCAGGGCCACACGGCAATCTTTCTACAAAACCAGTTCTTGGGTCCAGTGTAGGGGAGCAGATTAGTAATAATGAAGGGCATTTGGAGCTGGAAGTAATTATCTCTGCATTCACTACCCTCCAATCTTCTGATTGTGTTTATAGGCATTCAAATGTTTTTCATCACCCCAACTGCCCATAAGGGTGCCTTAGACAACAGAAATGCGCTTGTTCTGGAGCAAGTCTCTTTGGTTCCCCAAAAATAAAGTACAGAAGGAGAGGAATATTCAATGTGAATGTCTGTTTCTGGGTTGATGTCAATTTCTCTCTCTCTCTCTCTCTCTCTCTCTCTCTCTCTCTCTCTCTCTCTCTCTCCCTCCCTCCCTCCCCCCCTCTGTCTCTCTCTGTCTTTCTGTCTCTCTTTCTGTCTTTCTGACTCTGTCTCTCTCTGTCTCTGTCTGTCTGTCTGTCTCTCTCTGTCTCTCTCCCTTCCTCCTCTCTCTGTGTCTCTCTGTCTCTCTCTCTCTGTCTCTGTCTCTTTCTCTCTCTGCACCTGTCCTACAATTGTCTAACAATGTCCTTAGAGAAGAGGTGCTCAGCCTGTAGGCTGAATGTGCCAGACCCCTGCCTTCTGGATTGCAAATGATGGGGGCCACATCCCCCAGGGCATCTCTGATCAGCCCGAGGTTTGTTCCTGAGGGCACTAGCCAAGACTCTTAGGCTTTGACAATAGCAATCTGTCAACAGGGGAATTATTCATAGACTCCACTTGCGTCCTCTGTCCTTTGGGTGTGCCACAGAGACTCCCTGGCATTCAAATGAGGGCTCGTTTCTCCTCAGGTGACAGATGCTTGGTCTCTGAGCCCAAAGCTCTGAAAGCCATACTTGGCAGGAGCTGTTTCTCATTTTAACTCAGTGGAGGGGGGAGAGGGCAGTGGAAAGAAACTGAATTTGGAGCCTTAGAAGCTGGGTCCAAATCCTAACCCAGGGTGACCCTGGGACAGCCCTTTAATCTCTCTGGGACTCAGTTTCCTCATTTGTAAAAGGAGGGATCTAGATTAGATGGCATCTGAAGTCTTTCCAGCTCCAGTGTAGGAGTCTGTGGTCCTGTGAAGGAGGTGAAGGGTTAATAATTACAGTTACTCACATTGGTTTGACAATTGAAGGGTGACAAGGCATTTTCCCCATAACAATTTTTGAGATAGGCAAAATAATTCTTACTCTTATTTTATAGGTAAGGGATTAATTTGCAGAGCTCTTATTAAATTTGAGCCACATGCCAACCCTATGCAATACATACTGCTATCATTCCCATTTTCCAGATGAGAAAACTGAGCCCCAGAGAGGAAGTGGCTTATTCAGGGTTACACAGCTACGAAGTATCATAGGTGGAATAGGAGCCTCCAATAGTGGGTATCTCGCTACCTGTGACCCATTCTAGTTAGCTCTGAATGTCAAAAAGCATTTCTTTATTTAGGTAAGCTTCTACCCATTGCTAGAACTAGGATTCTGCCCTCTGGGGCTGACTTAGCTGACTCTGGGCTCTCTTTCAGATCAGGGTTATATGACTAACAAATGTCAGAGGTAGATTTTGAGTTGAATAACAGTAATCATTGGCATTCCTATACCACTTTAAAGTCTGCAATGCTCTTACGTATCTCATTGCAGCCCAGGGAGGTAGGTGCTATGCTATTATCACCTCCATTTTATAAATGAGGGAAGTGAGGCCCAGAGATGTGCCACCTGCCCAAGGTCACACAGACAGTAAATGTCAGAGGCTGTATTTGAACCTGGATCTTCTGGCTCCAAAGCCACCATACCTAGCAAGGGTCACCAAGGTTGCAGACCAGTCAACTCCCAGCCCATCCCCCTTAAGCTCTGAGCCCAGAGTGAAGGGGTCCTTATGTTGTTGCCTGGACATTTCTCCACGCAGGAAGGGTCCTCGGCCCCACCTTCAATGTGCCCCTTTTCCTCCACGCCCCAATCATGGGACCCTGTCCCACCTGAAGATTTGAGGCAAAGGGCATCTCCTCACTGCAGAAAATTGGGAAGGGGGAGGGGGAGGATGGAAGAGGAGTGACATTGATTTTTCCTATGACCAGGGAAGCCTCATTCTCCTTTCTGGGCCATGTTCTTATCTGCAAAATTGGAGGTGGGGAGATGACGAGATTATTATCCCCAGATCTTTATTATCCCTCTTATCCTGAGATACCTCAACGGGCCTGCTGGCTTTTTCTCTCTCACCTACCACATTCCATCTCCCTGGCCCCCTTGCCTGGAATGTTCTAACCTATCTCTCTACCTCCTAAAATCCCCAGCTTTCTTCAGAGATGACGTTGAATGCCTCCCACCACTCAAGACCTTTCCTGATCTTCTGCCCCTGATACTGACACTCTCCCCTCCTCAAAAAAATTACTTTCTATTTAGAATATTAGGGATTTTTTTAATATTAGGAACTCCCAGGTAAGGACACTCCCTCTACTAGTGCAGGTGGGCACCCTCTCTGAACCTTAGAGAGGCGACTAGCCCAGGGGTGTCAAACTCAAACATAAATGGTGACCACTAATATGTACGTGAGGTTCCATATATTGAGTTAGTTTGAAAATGTAATGTCATCTGTGTTTTATTGTATTTTTATGTGTTTTATTAAATGTTTCCTAATTACATTTTTCTCTGGTTCAGCTGCTGCAGGAGTGTGGTGGGTAGTGTTGTAGACCACATTCCATTCACACAGCCTGAGAGGCAGAATTTGAACTCAGGTCTTCCTGTCTCTAATCTGCACTATACCTTGGTGGCCACATTGTATCTATTTTGTATTTAATTATCATAGCAATTATACATATTGTATTTCTCTGTTAGAATGTAAAGTCCCTGAAGGTGGAGACTATTTTGTCTCTATGGATTGTTGGGGGTAGCTAGGTGGTGCCATAGTGCATAGAGCACCAGGCCTGAAATCAGGAAGACCTGAGTTCAAATGTGACCTCAGACATTTCATAGCTGTGTGACCCTGGGCAAGTCACTTAACTCCATTTGCCTCAGTTTCCTCATTTGTAAAATGAGCTGGAGAAGGAAATGGCAAACCACTCCAGTATCTCTGCCAAGAAAACCCCAAATGGAGTCATGAAGAGTTGGACACAACTGAAATGACTCAACAAAACTGACAGTCAATTAATCAATAAACATTTTTAAACACCTACTATGTGCCAGTCACTATGCTAAGCTCTGGGGATACAAGAAAGGCCAAAGATTGTCCCTGCCCTTGAGCAGCACACAATATAAGGGGACACAGCATTGGCCACTAGGGAGCTCCACCGTGGATGGAGCACTGAACGTGAGTTCGAATCTAGATTCAGACTCTTACTAGCTGTGTGGCCCTGGGCAAGTCACTTAACCTCTGCCTGCCTTAGTTTTCTTATCTTAAAAATGGACATAATAATAACACCTACCTCCCAGAGTTGTTGTGAGGATCAAATAAGATAATATTTGATGGCAGATAGGTGGCTCAGTAGATAGAGCACTGGCCCTGGATTCAGAAGGGCCTGAGTTCAAATGCAGCCTCAGACACATAACACTTACTAGCTGTGTGACCGTGGGCAAGTCACTTAACCCCATTGCCTAGCCAAAAAAAAAAAAAAGATAATATTTGTGAAGTGCTTTGCAAACCCTAAAGTGCTATATAAATGAGTCGTTATTATCCCTAGTACCTTGCAAAGCACCTGGAGCCTAGGAGATGCTTAATAAATACAGGTACTGGGGCAGCTAGGTGGCACAGTGGATAGAGCACCGACCCTGAAGTCAGGAGTTCCTGAGTTCAAATCTGGTCTCAGACCAAACACTTGACACTTACTAGTTGTGTGACCCCGGGCAAGTCACTTAATCCCAATTGCCTTAAAAAAAAATAAGTACAGGTACTTAATAAATGCTTGCTGAATAAATGAACAAATGATCCTTGTTAGATTAAAAAAAAAAAGAGTCCTGGCTGTGCTAGAGTTCTTCAATCAAAGAGTGGGAGACCACTTGTCAGACTGCCTTTAGAATCAAAAGTTCTTCATTCCTTCAGGTGTGTCTGTCTCTCCATGACCCCATTTGGGGTTTTCTTGGTTTGCCATTTCCTTCTCCAGCTCATTTTACAACTGAGGCAATCAGGGGTTAAATGACTTGTCCAGGGTCACACAGCCAGGTCTGAGGCCAGATTTGAACTTGGGAAGATGAATCTTCCTGACTCCAGTCCCAGCATTCTATGCACTATGACGCCACCTAGGTGACCCTTAGAGTCAGAAGCCATGGGTTCAAATCCCACCTCTGCTACATACTACCTGGGTGACGCTGGGGCAAGGTCATCTGGCTTTGGTGACCTCCAAGGTCACTTCCAGTTCTGATTCCATGATCTTATAGGCAGCTGCTGCCAGACTACCCAGCTGCTGGGCTCTTCAGGGCGTGGCACCTCTGTGGGACAGCTAGGTTGTCTGGACTCACTCTTCAGTGGGTAGTTGCATTTTTGAAAAGCCACCCCCAGTGACCGGCTCGACTGGGTGATATTGCACTCTCTTTAGCTAAAATGTTACAGTGCTCTTTTCAAAGATCTCTAGCCTGTGATTGGCAGAAGCCTTTCCTCTGCCTTCCCCAGAACCTCGGATCAGAAGTTTGTCCTCTGCAGGCAGGAAATGAGAGAAGTCTAGACTCTCCTTTTTGACAAGCTTTCTTGGCAGAGTGAGCTCGCCCAAGGAAAGACTCCTCCTTTGCTTGTGGTGATCAGCCCTGACTCAGCTGGGTTCATTTCCCAGACTCCCATTGGGGTCTTAT